CTGCATTTTATCTCACTCTTCCTCCAAGAAGATCCAGGTAATACACTACACCCCTTCCCCATCTGCATAAAAACACTGTGGCATACACTGGTCACTTGTAGCAAATGGCCCAAGCTCAGGAAGTGTATGTACTAGTTCCAATTTTTTAGACTTCCAGAAGTTTTGGAGTATACTTTCTAGGCTCTCTGAGTGCTGGCCATGCTCAGTGTGGTTTCTGGGAACTAAAGTGCAAAACCTCTGCAAGGCCAAAGACTGACAACTTGGGTTGCAGTGAAATTCATGGTTCAGCAGGGATTTGAACCTAGGCCTTTGTATTTTGAGTCCAATGCTCATCTGACCCACTATAGCACAGAGGGTTAATTTTATTCCTCCCATCCCTTTAAAGGCAATATACTGGTGCTGGTCATGACCTGTAAGGCCCTATAGGGCTTAGGTCCAGATTATCTGAAAGACCATGGAGATGATTGCACACGAACATCTCCGATGGGATAGGTACGTGCTTAAAAGTCAATGACGGATCTTACCACACTGACTTATGGCTGGGTCGGTGGTAGCAACTTAGGCTTATTCTGTGGCTTTTCAAGAATGAGATTTTCCTGTTCTTGAAAAGCTATGGGACAAGCCCGGGCTGTCAGGGATATTCATGTGCGACAATAATACTAATACTAATAATACATTTTATTTATAGCCCGCCTCTCCTTCAGATCGAGGCGAGTTCCTCTCCCATATCTCCCTATATGAACGTGCCAGTCTCAAAAACCATAGGGGAGGGCTTTCTCTGGGTCCTACCACCATCATAGTCTGGCTTGGTAAGGACACAAGAGAAAGCCTTCTTGGTGGCTGCTCCCAGCCTCTGGAACTCCCTTCCAATGGAGGCTTGGCTGGCCCCCTCTCTGCTTGCCTTTTGCCGGCAGGCAAAAACCTTTTTATTTAAACAGGCTTTTAATCTGTAATTGCAACAGGGAGGCTTTTTAAAAATGGGATGTGTATTTTATTTATATTTAAACATATATATGCTTTAAAATGATTTTATATTGTTCCAATTGTGATGGTTTTAAGTGTTTTTAAAAATTGCATGGGTAGATTTTAATTGATTTCCTTCTGTGAGCCCACTCTGGGAGAAAGGTGACATATAAATCAAATAATAAATAAATATCTTCCCCACCTCCCCTCTTCTGCTTACAGTAAAGTGGGAAAGTATTAAAAAAGGAACAATGTCCCACACCAGGAGGCGGGACACCCTCCAGCTTTTTGACTGACTCAAACCCTAGTCTCTCCGAGTTATTTTTTTTTTCTTTTCTATATATTTCTTGTCCTCCATAATCTATGTACAACAGAACACCCAAAAATTGGAGGAGGGAATTCCCTTCTCTTCTCACTGTTTTCCTTCTTCTATCTTTCACATGTGGTTCTTTGTTGCTGCTCTCCGAATATGCTTAGAGGACCTCTTCCTTTGTCCTCTTAGGTCTGAAATTTGAAGCTCATGGTTGCTTTGTTCTCCCTTGGCTGTGAGTATGTGACCCAGTCACATTCTCCCCGCCCAAAACTAGATCTGGCTTTCTTCTTCCCAGATGGCAGAAAAAGAGAGCCCCCTTTTCAAATGCGACTTACCCCTCTCTTCCAAGCAGCCTCAAAGACTATGCTAGATCTTCCCAGTTTAAAATCTTTCCTCTTTCTAAAGCAACACTATCTCAGCCCAAATTAAACCTTGCTTTTGTCTTCTTTAATATTTCTTGCTTTAGAAACAGAAGGCTTCTCTTTTGAGACACAAATGGCACTTGTTGCCAACTTTTTTCCTTCAGTCAGAGGTGTTACTAAATGGATTTTGTTGTTGTTGATATTGTTGTTTGAGAGTTGCTTTGCACAAAGACGACATAGCCCAGTTTGATAACCCCTTGCAAATTAGATTAGGTTTGCTTACTTTTGTTGTTAAAAAGATTATTTTGCCCCCATACATTTCAACTTCTGTTTTGTATTTCACCTTTTGGACATTAGTCACTGAATTTAATTTTAATTTTTTATATTAAGCCATTTTAAAAGGTTCTTGTTGTTCCTTTTGGGCTGCTCCAGTTTGCTATTTTCATTTTTCCTTTTCAAGTTTAAGGGGAATTTTTCTAGACTAGATAGGGATTTTGTTTTACAGTGAGTTAAGGAAAGAGATTTTCTCTCATGCCTTTTTGATTTTGTTTAAAGGTTTTTAAGGAGTTTTTTAAATGGGGGGAGGGGGAGGTGCAGATTTCCAATGCCCTCCAGATGCCCCCATATTTTGCCTACACTTGTTCCAGACTTGAGGTGTCAGCCTGTTCCAAACCTGAAAGGCACTTGGCATTCATTTTATTTTTGATATATACACAGGTTGAGATTTCTTGTCCTCAGCCCAGACCATCATGCTGCACATTTGCCCATGGTTCTCACAAACATCTTGCTACATGATTCTCTTGCCTGCATTTACTTTTTCCTCTGCCATAATGTGGGAGCTCGCTTGTAGCCTAGCTCCACCTTTGCTACTCTGTGGCTTTGGCCATTTTTCTTTACAGATGGCTTGTAATGGAGGGGGGGGGGAGTACATGTACATAGATCTTTGCCTATCCTTTATTTCCTTTCAGATATATGCGTATGTGTCTGCTATTGAATGTGCTTAAACCGAGGTGCCTTTGTTCTGCGAGGGGGGATGAGATGTGCCCCTGCCTCCGTTTTAGATATCCTCCATTTATGTCTGGCGACACTTCAGATGTTTCCATTATGTCAGACCATGTCCTGGACGTCCTCCATCTTGCTGCAGATGCCTTCTTCAGTCCTTCTAATCCTTCCAGTTGTTCCGACGCACTCCTTCAGACATGAGATGCACTGGGCTAAACCTCAGCTGCAGTTCCAGAGATGTCCTCCAAAGTGCTCCATGCCAGGTTCCTGCTTCAAATCCATGGTCCCTGCTACTCTGTTCCTGATTCCTGCAGAGTGCTTACTTGCTGATTGCACTCCTGCCCTGCTGACATCCTGATCTACTCAACCTTCATCTTCTGCTTCAACGTCTTCGTTCATGGACACTGCTCATGCTTCCTGGGCTGCATGGGTACAGATGATCAAGTCCTCCACGATCCTCCACAAGGGTTGAGTGACCTCATTTCCGTTTCTAAGGCCTTCCCTCAATGCCTCCATTCAGCCACTAGCGCACCAAGGCACTATTCAAAAATTTTTGGTCTGTCTACTCCAGACTAAAGTCTGAACTTTTTCTCAAACTTTTACCTAGCTCATTCAAATTTGCTGGACATATTGATACACATTTTCTACACCAGTACGCAACCCGCTAAAGATTTTTGGACATTGGTTTCCTTTTCAGTGGCTATTGATGCCATCATGATCCTGAACTTTGTTACCTTGCCAAGTCCAGCCTAAGATTCAAAGACTTGAATTTGCTAGTTATGTTTCTTTGCTGTCTTGACTTTCTGGACATTGGTCCACTAACTTTCCTATTTTGATATGCCTTTTGCATGCTTTGATGGTGATTTATACATACTTATGCATGCTTATACATTTTAATGCCTGCATATGTGTTGATGTTCATAATTGGTGCTCATTAGCCTATTGCTTTAATTGTTTTGTGTCATATATTTCCAGGATGCTATTTGTGATGTTTTCTATTGACAGATCTTTTATACACTCAATGCTTATTGGCTATACACATGCAAATTTACCAAAGTTGTACCTGTTCATAAGTAACATGGACTGGATTTGTCTGTTCCGGATGACAGTCCAAACCTTCTACCAAACTTTCATTAGTCTTAGGACGTTATCACACGGGGCTCGATCCAAACAGAATCCAAACGAAATGCCGACTGAATCCAGATTATTTGCCCGTGTTTCCACACGACGTCGCACAGAACCCCGACAGAAAGTGGACAGAAAGTGGAAAGAACCGAGATCTTTTGAATTTTGGTTTCTTGAGGAATTGCAATTGCGCGACGGGAATCATTTCGCATTTACCGCGGGTCTGATAACCAAATACGTATTGTGGCGCATTTCCCCATCATTACCCATGGTTCCCGCGAGCATTACAACTTTGGTAAACATGCGACATCTATCTGCGCATGTGCAGGAGGCTCATTTCGGCTACATTTACGTTTTTTTTCTCTTGTGTGTGGACGTTCGATACACTTACTGTAAATGCGCAATGAAGGTAATGACGTTTGCGGAAACAAGATTTATTTCCCATTTATTTTCGGGATGCCTCGTTTCCACTTTATTTTCAGTTTCTGGGCCACGTGTGATAACGTCCTTGCTCAATGCTGATGGACTTTGCTGCTAAGTGTTTCTGGACATTATTTCATTTCAACCTTGGACTTCACTTGGCTATTGCAGCCAACCTAAAACTAAACACTATAGACTTGATCTGACATTTATATTGTTTTGCATTTATTGACTGATACACATTCCAAGTCCTACAAATGGGTTTCACTCATGAAAATAGTCCCCTAGATACCAGGTTAAACTTCCTCAAATCGACATCTTCTAAAATTTTCATGGCGAAGAAAATTTGGCAATGTGAAAATGATCACCTGTCCAATTTGCATTTGAACAGGTAGATAATTTTCAAGGGGGGGAGGACTGTTACAATAATTGATTTATATTTTTTTAAAAAACTATTGTGGGTCCCTGCCATGGCCCTAGACGGGGAGAAGCTCAATCGCTATGGACTCAAAGTGAGCACATCTCGTAGGTACCTGAAAGGTCACATCTGCATCTACAACAATTTGCAGATCAAAAGAGCCAAAGCCTAGGATCTGCAAATCATGACATTTACACCCTCCGAATTCTGGAGACGTAGAGATTTACAACCAGCTAAGAATGAGAGAACATCAACATCCCATTTCCTCTCCTTGGAAATTGTCTACTTCAAAGGCAACCTATCCGAAATCTTTTGATATTCAATACTTAATTTTCGTTCCAGGCTATTTTCAGCCTATATCAAGACCCGCAAAATCTGTATTCTGTGAGCTGGTTTTGGAAGGGAAGGGGGATCTCACTCCCTCTCTTTAATTCCTAACCGGTATCCCTCAGGTGTCCCAACACAACCTCACTCCTTAGTGCATTTTTCTACAAGGAGTGCAGAGTTTCTAGGTAACTATTTTGTGTGTGAAACCTACCTTCCTTACAGATTTCATGTATCCTCTGTGTATGTGTATGCTTGTTTGTTGATTTATTTATCTCTCTTAATAAAAGTACTATTCTTTTGGGAAAAAATGCTATCTCTGCAAGGACTCTTCCCTCCCTCCCTCCCCCTGCACACAGTTGGTCCAGATCTTACTTATTATTTTTGAGCTAATTATAAATTCCCCAAGGTCAAGTTCTTA